GCCCGTAATCCCAGCTACTCGGGAGGCAGAAGCTTGAGAATTCGCTTGAACCCAGCAGGCAAAGGTTGCAGTGAGCCAACATTGCACAACTGCACTCCAGCCAGGGCAACAGGGCAAGACTCTGATGCAAAAACAAACAAAGAGTTTGTGGTCCGAATAAATAATCAATTCCCCACCTCTGACCTCTAGCCACATTTATCTAGTCAAAGAAGACCAAGCAAATCCCAACACCTCTTTCTTCCCAAACCCCCATCTCTCCCCAGAGGTCCATACCAGTATAGGAACCCAGTAATAATTGAGGGGTGGTGCTGTATCCTGCACGATCCTGATACGGTGGGTGAAGAAGAAGAAAGCCAGGATCCCTGGAGAAGGAGAAGAAGGCAAGATGGTGAAGGGTTCTGGATATAGGAAATAGCCTCCTAAGAAGATGACACCCATCGCAGAAGACAGAAATCAGGTTCCCACACCCTGAGAGGCGAGGTGGGCGGCACTCACCCACACTGCCTACGATCAAAAGTTTGCCCAACAGGAAGAGGAAGTCGGTAACTTTGTCCAGGACAGCCACTCTGCAGGGGACAGTGAGGGGCAGGTGTTAATGCTGGCTTCAGGGACTAGGGGAAGAGGGAGGTGGCAGGAGGAAGATGGTGCTGATTCCTGACCTGATGATGTTTCTCATGAGCAGGAAGAAGGCATTCCTGGCCGAGGTGCAGAAATTGGTGCCGTAGATGGCAATCTGGAGGAGAGTGGGAGAGAGAGATCAGACCCACTGGGTGGGCATGGGGGGTGGTCCTCTCACCCAGCAGGAGCTGGTGGGTTGGTTGGGGGTCCCAGGCCCACTCACCATGATGTAGGCATTCCTATTGAGGAATTTGATGAACTTCTCCAGGCACCAGAAGCAGCATTTGAGACAGGTCATGAGGCACTTGGCAAACTTGTTCTCTGCGGCTGGAAGGGAAGGGAAGGGATGCAGAAGTGAGGGGACACCACCTGACGTGGAAGGGATCCCCTCTTCCCTATCACACACACTTGCCAATGTCCAGGTCTCCTGAGTCCATGCTGTCAAAGAGACAGGGACTTGAGCCCAGGAGTTTGAGACCACAGTAAGCCATGATGGTGCCACTGCACTCCAGCCTGGACGACAGAGAAAGATCCTGTCTCTAAAGCAAAGTACAATCAATCCCAGCCCCACAGCCCTTCCTCTAAGAAAAATAAACCAGTTTTTTTGTTTTTCTTTTTTTTGAAATGGAGTCTCACTCTGTTTCCCAGGCTGAAGTGCAGTCGCTCGATCTCGGCTCACTGCAACCTCCACCTCTGGGGTTCAAGTGATTCTCCTCTCTCAGCCTCCCGAGTAGCTGGGACTACAGACGCGCATACCACCATGGCTGGCTAATTTTTGTATTTGTAGTAGAGATGGGGTTTCATCATGTTGGCCAGGCTGGTCTCCTGACCTCAGGTGATCCGCTTGCCTCAGCCTCCCAAAGTGCTGAGATTATAGGCGTGAGTCACGGCGCTCAGCTAATAAACCAGTTTTATTCCTGCTTCCTTCAGCGCAAATATATCCCACTCCAATTCACTCTAGCAATAATCAATGGTGGGCCAGTCCTCTTGGGCCTGTCCCCTCAACAGCAAGAATTCCACCCAGTAGGTTCTCTGGTTTGCTCCTCCATCGCAGGACCCAATCACGCTAACTCCTGAGCTCCCCCACGGCATAGACAGAAACCCTTCACTGCTCTATGATCTTGGCACCGCCCACCTCCAAGCAAGAACCAATCCTGGTTTGCTATTCAGCCTCGCCCCCCAACAGGAGCTAATGCGAGCCGTGGGTGGGCCCGTACCTTTCAGCCGCTGATCCAGGTACTCGAGTATCACACGAATGATCTGCACAATGGCCAGGATGAGCGCGCCAAAGGCCAGGGAGCCCGTGTGGTACCTGCGGGCCGAGGGGGTGGTCGGTGGCTGGGCCAGGCCTCCTCCTCCACCCAGTCCTGCCCGCAACGCCAGCCCACCTGAGCGCCCGGCCAAAGGCAGAGAAGAGCGGGAAGGCTGGCAGGTCGTCCGGCTTGCGCAGGGCCCAGTAGTAGGAGGCAAAGGCCCCGGCCAGTGTGACCTGGCCCAGAGCCAGCACGAAGTTGGCCAACCAGAAGAACATGAAGGCATTGAAGATCTGCAGGCCCAGCAGGGCCCGGTGGTAGCCCGACTCACCACCATAGAAGGCGAACTGGCAACGGGCATTGGGGCATAGGCGGGACTCGTTGGAGGAGGGGAAGGTCTGTGGGAGAGAAGGGAGAACCGAGTCCAAAAAGAGGCGCCAGGGGTTCACAGTGGGCTCTGAGCATCAGGTGTGGGGCCAGGAAAACCATGAGGTAGGACAGGAGACATAAGGATCAGAGTTAAGTGAAGGAACTAAGGGTTTGGAACACAGCTTGTGCAAAGGAAGGAATTCTAGAAACAAGAAGTGGCCATCACCAGGGTCAAGAAGAGAGAATGGAGACAGGAAATGAAATGGGGAAAAAGGGGCCGGGCGAGGTGGCTCACGCCTGTAATCCCAGCACTGGGAGGCAGAGGCGGGTGCATCACAAGGTTAGGAGATCGAGACCATCCTGACCAACATGGTGAAACGCTGTCTCTACTAAAAATACAAAAATTTGCCTGGCGTGCTGGTGTGTGCCTGTAATCCCAGCTACTCGGGAGGCTGAGGCAGGAGAATTGCTTGAACCAGGGAGTTGGAAGTTGCAGGGAGCTGAGATCATGCCACTGCACTCCAGCCTGGTGACAGAGTGAGACTCTGTCTCATAAAAAAAAAAAAGAAAGGAGGGAAAAATAGGTGATTTAGCACCCAGGGTGAAGGCCAGGGCAAGCTGAAGAGAGGAAGCCAGGTTGTCCTGGGAAGTTGTTCAATCCAGTTAGAGAGTCTCTTCCCCACCGTGCGTCCTCCCCCACACCCAGCACAGGACATGCAACAGGAGCCAATTGCTTGCTGAACCTCCAAGGGGACATGAGAGGTTTAAAATCATCCGGGGCCTTCTGGGGCAATACCTGCCCTCCCCACCCTGGGGACGCCCACCTCTGGGTTGCAGGTTTTCGCAGTAAGTGAGCAGGAGCTATCATCAAAGATCTTATAGACCGCTTCATTGGAAGTGGACAGGAAGCTGGAGGTTCATTAAGGAAGCAGAGGTCTAGGACTGAGGACCCCAGGGACTTTCGTGGGAAAGAATCCATTATCCCACCAGTTTCCAGCCCTGTCCCTAAGATGCAGGTCACTTCTGGGCAAAGTTGGTCTTTAGCCATCCCTGGGGTCAGAGATTGGTGTCTGGGGGTGGATACACAGCAGTGCTGGCCCAGTAGGCGATGCAGAGGCACAGCAAGAAGAAGGTGACCAGTGGGTAGAGCAAGGAGCACATGACATATCCCACAGCCCTAGGGAGGAGCAAAGACACAGGCATCAGGGCAAAAGACACAACTCTAGGGACAGCTCCATCCTGACCCCCGGCACCTGGCCCCCACCTGCTGGCTTCTTTGATGAGTGCAATCGCGATGAGAATTCTCTTCCGGAGAAAGATGAGCAGCAAGATGATAACGACTTCAAGGATACTCAGAATGATCACTGCAAAGGGCAAAGGCTGAGCCGCCTGGGCTCCCCACTCCCTCCAAGGCCTCATGTCGGGGCAGGATTGGGAGACTGTGACTCACTAAAGGCCAACCAGGTCTGCCGTAAGTGCAGGTACACCCGGAAATCCGTCTGAAAGCCGAGGTCCACCAAAGAGACATCAGAGCCAGCCTCACCACGCAGTCGGGAGTACTCCATGTAGCAGTGAAAGATTCCTGCATGGGGGAAACCACAAGCTCAGTCCACCAATGCCTCCTGCAACTTTGCAAAGCGCTACAACTGCCCGCATTTAACAGAAGCAAACATCGAGGCTGAGAGGCTGCCTCTTCTAGCCCCTGCTTCAGGGACTTTACACTTGCAGTTCCCACCGCCCGGTGCATTCTCTCCCCATGGCTGGATCCCACACATCTTTAGGTCTCTCTGCTCAAGTGTCACCTTCACAGGAGACCTTCCAGAACCCTTTCCCCCTACTTGGAATCATAATCATGTGCTGCCAGGGTCTAACTTCTCTTTTTTTTGAGATGCAGGCTCACTCTGTCACCCGGGCTGGAGTGCAGCGGCACGATCTGGGCTCACTGCAACCTCCACCTCCAGGGTTCAAGAGATTCTCCCTGCCTCAGCCTCCTGAGTAGCTGGGATTACAGGTGCCCACTACCATGCCCAGCTAATTTTTGTATTTTTTAGTAGAGACAGGGTTTTGCCATGTTGGCCAGGATGGTCTCGAGCTCCTGACCTCAGGTGATCCGCCCACCTCAGCCTCCCAAAGTGCTGAGATTACAGGCGTGAGCCACCACGCCCAGCCAGGATAGCTGTTGAATGAATGAATGAATGAGCAGGTGTCAGGATGCTGCATGGCTAAGACCTCTCTCTGACCCCCTCGCCACCTTATAACAGTGATTCTCAGGAGTGGCCTGGGTATTAATATGTAGAGCAGCATTAGAAATTTTCAGCATTCTTCTTAGCTTGCAAACTATAATTATAAAATAAAGACAGGCTTGGCCGGACGCAGTGGCTCGCACCTATAATCCCAGTACTTTGGAAGGCCAAGGCAGGTGAATCACAAGGTCAGGAGATCGAGACCATCCTGGCTAACACTGTGAAACCCCATCTCTACTAAAAATACAAAAAATTAGCTGGGCATGGTGGCACATGCCTGAGTCCCAGCTACTTGGGAGGCTGAGGCAGGAGAATCACTGCAACCCGGGAAGGAGAAGTTGCAGTGAGCCAAGATTGCG